CAATGCAAGAGAGAGAGATTCTTCAGATCTGCATCACCCGTATCCGTTCCTTAGGATTATCCCATTGCGGTAATCCTAAGAAGAGCAATTATCTCGCCGTTGCCGAGATAAGCGCTTCTACTTCTAGATTCCTTCGCGAATCGACGAAGTTCTGAATCTGATCTGATTGTCAGGTAGTCCACGGATATCGACATCCCCGTCACCGGCTAAAGACCCACGCAAGCAAGAAACGACGAACAGATCTTGCGTTATTTTCGAGAGAGTTGTAACCTTTCATTTTTATTCCTTTTTTATTGAATATTTTTGAATTCTTTGTAAGCAATCAATATTATAATGAATTCGACAATGAAAGCAACTTTCAGCGAAAACAATCTACATCGATTGTCACATTATGCTAGAGTTGTATCTTTTGTGCTGTTATCTTTCTTGGACTCGCTAATCTTTTATCTTGCGTTTAACTTCACAAAGAAGTTAAATGTATTTCTGATATTCAACACAAACTTCTTAAAATACAGACTTTGATTTTTTTTATTTCAATGAGAATAAATGTTAATTTCATATACATGAAATTCTTTGTATTCCTAATTTATTACTTAAATAAAATTAGGAGCTACCTTTTTTTTTCTTTACAATGAATTCTTCTGATGTGCATCTAATAAGAGTTTCAATTATGTCAATAATATTACATTTGTTCTATCCCTATTATTTTTCACAAAGATCTAAACTAAATATCTATATTTTTATTACCAATTTGCTTTAGATTATAATATTAATATTTTAATTTTTTTAGTACTTGAAGAACAATGTATAAAATTTATGAATACTTACTAATTTTTCTTATATCTTCCATAGAGAAATATTTTTTGATTGGGATAAAGTTATTAAATTATTTTTTAATGTAACTCAGTTGATGCTTCTTTAATAGATATCCCTTATGTTCAAATGATTCGTGGACGTTTTGAATTTTAGATTTATTTTCGTCACTTTCTCATTTGTAATGGAAATAGCTTGATTCTTTTGAAGGATATCTCTGAACATTCTGATAGTTTCTCCATACGTAATTTATTGTATTCTTTTTATCCTATAAATATTATTAACATCAAAGATTAATGTTTCTAATTATAATCAATTAGTGGTAAGCTATTATATTATGGTCTTTTATCATTTTTATGGATTTATACATCTATCAATTAATGTTACTAATGTGTTTTTTCTGCTCTAACTTATTAGTAAAATTATATACAGTTGCTTTAATTTATATAGTGACGATAATTTTTAAGCTATAATATTTTTTAAAATTTTATTACTTAACCGAATATTTTTAATCAATTCTTATTACTTTTATTTACCAGTATCAACTTAGACTATCTTTAGATGTTGAAAAGGGATAAGAAACCCTAAATTGGAAATATTACATATATACCCCTTACCCAGTCGACAAATAGCAGATGAGTGGCCTGTAACGGTCAGCTCATCAGTCGACTGATGAACAATATCAGTCGACTGATGGCCTGTAATGGCTAGTTTTTTCTGTTTGCTGATTTTTTGAGGTTTTGTCTTTTTGCTTGGTTTTTAGGGTTTGTTTTGTGAACTTATATATACCCCTTACCCTCAAACTTCTGAACTTATCTAAGAAAAGTTTTAAAACAAGTTTACAAGGGTTTAAGTTTGTTTAATTGTGTTTTCCAAGTGTTTATGTGAAGATGTTTTCACAAGAGGAAGAGGAGATCATTCTTTTCGTGTTTGGGCTTCAATTTCATTCTCTCTCACTCTTGTTTTCAGAGAAGTTTTCTCCAAACTCAATTTCTAGCTTTATATATATTTGTTGATTAACCATTTCATTAAGCTAGATTTCATATTGAGTTAAACTCAATTTCTAGCTTTATATATATTTGTTGATTAACCATTTCATTAAGCTAGATTTCATATTGAGTTTAGTTTTGATTATTGCTCATGTTGATTAACCATTTCATTAAGCTAGATTTCATATTGAGTTTAGTTTTGATTATTGCTCATTGTTTACATACACACCCCTTGACCTTAAGTATTTTCACATATAGTATAATTATTGGGTTGTAGGGTTGTAACATTGAGTGTGAGCTTAATTGAGTTATCATATTGTTAGAGAACAAAATTTGTATTTGAGCTTATTTGTTGAGAGATCATATTGTAATACACAAGTACACCGAGAGGAGTGTGTGGTAAGAGACGTGGTCAATTCTAAGAGGAGTGACGTTGGTAGTAAAACTTAGGGAGAGGTGATAAATCCAAGCACTTGAGTAAGTTGACACGAGCTAGGCTAACACTTAGAGGGTGTATTGTGTGATTACAATTATGTGAGTTGTGAAAGTTTTCTGTAAGCTAAAAAATCGATTGTGTGAGGTGTAAATGTTTTTAGTAAACGTTAAAAACCGGCTGTGATAGTGTAGATTCTCCTCAAGAGTGGGGAGTGGAGATGTAGGTCGGAAGTGACCGAACTCCGTGATCACATTGTGTGTTTGAGTTTGCCTTGGTGTATTATTTGTGCTTATTGTTTATTTCATTCTATATCGTCATTGTCTCATGTTTATATCGCCCTTATTTTAATTGCATATCCTTGCTCATATATCTTTTTATATATCATAATTGCTAGGATATTGTTAATAAGTTTTAATTTACCATTGTAATCGGATTAGATTAGCATATACCCTATTTACCACCCTCTAAGGTAATTTCACTTGTAACTCAAAAATTTTGAGGGCGTTTTTTATAATTGTTAAAACTGTAGATTAATTTAAAAAAATTAAATTTCAACGGTCTACCAATACTTTCAAGATTTGATGTGTGCTGGTTATAAATTTTAAAAATTTAGAGTTCTTAGTAATTTTTAAAATTTGAAAAAGTTTTATAATTTCTGTAACTTTGAGGTTAATTTCGATAAATTTTAAAATTTTAGGTGCATGAGGGTAATCTCTTGAATTCATTTGTTATTATTTATAAATTTTAAAAATTTTAGAATTTTAGGGTTGTTTTTTATAATTTAAACTTTTGAGGGTGTTTCTATAATTTTTGGGACATTAAGGGTGTTAATTGAAAATTTTAAATTCTTTGGAAGTTGCTGTTAATTTCTTAATTTCATATTTATTATTTTAATTTTTAAAATGTTGAAATTTTCAGGTGCATTATGGTAATCCCTTGAATTCATCTTTGTTGTTTGCAAGTTTTAAAATTTTAGAATTTCAGATGCTTGTTTGTAATTTAAATTTTTGAGGGTGTATCTATAATTTTTGAGATATTGAGGTGTTAATTATAAGTTTTAAATTCTTCGCAAACTACTGTTAATTTCTTGATTTCATGTTTGTTATTTTAAGTTTTTAGACGTTGGGATGGTTTTTATAATTTTGAACTTTTTAGTGTATTTTGTGCAATTTTAAAATTTTTAGCTTTTTTTTACAATACTTTATGTATTATACTATGTTAGCTAGGTATAATTTCTTTATCTCAACAAACTAATACCATGAAGATGTTTTATATATTTTATTAATATTATTTTTTAAAAATTTTAAGCTATAGATAGTTCACGTATGATTAAGATATGATATAATTATAATTAGGATAGATTAAGATATAAATAAAATATTTAAAATAGTGAAGGGTAATATTGACCATAAAAAGATTTTTTCCGAACCCGTGCTTTTAAAGGGGGTATATAATTAAACTAGAGAGATGTCACATATTTTATCCTATTAATTAAGGTTCACATTTTCAAAAAAAGAACAAAGTAATATGGAAACCATCTCCGACTTGAAAAAATTCAATGAAACTTAAACCAATTTGTATTCTTTAATAAGGATTATATTCTTTCACTTAGTCATAGGAACTGACGCCTCGTTTGGTACGCGGGAATGGACTCAAATGAGAATGGAATAGAAGAAGGAATGAAATGGAATTAATGTGAGAATGGAATAGTCATTCTCATTCTCACGTTTGAGTGTAATTTATAAAATAAAGTGGGAATAAACGTATTTTAAAATTGTATATTTTATTGATTCCTATTTAAGTGGGAATGCCAATTCCCTATCATTTCATTGGGAATGCTCATTCCCACATAAAGTGGGAATTGATGAGAAGTAGGAATGAGCATTCCAACTTTAAAAAAAGAGGGTGTGTTTGGTAGGAAGGAATGAGAAGTGAGAATGATCATTCCATTCCTCCCCATTCTTACATACCAAACGAGGCCTGAAAGCAATCAAAAGTCTCTCTCCCCCTCCCTCTCTCTCACTCTCTCTCTCTCTCTCACTCACAACAACTGGTTGCTACTGCAAACAAACAGAGAACTACGGTGGTCATGTGCACCGCAGCTGGCCAAAACGTGATCATGTGATTGCCACAGGATAATGCATTCAAACTCAAAGAATCTTTGTAATTAAGCTTCTAAGAGAACATGGGAATTATAAGAACCTCCCCCTGTTAATACCACCTCACACAAATAAATAAATAAATAACTAAATAAAAAATAAAAAAAATAAAAGAGAAACCCTCTATAGAAAAGAATGAGAACATGGCATGTGTCCCTGTATCCATTTTAAATCAGCGTACGTAATCACTATATAATACCAGTGAAAGTAGTGTATATTAATACATAGAATTGAAACATTCATGACGCAAAATTGAAATAATCTATCAGTGTAGTCACAGATATTAAGATGTAGACTAGAACACATGTTGCATTCCCACATGAATTCATATAGAGGATCCTCTGTAGAAGTTTTTTTCCAATAGCCTTATTTAGTACTCATATAGGAAAAAAGAGAGGACATCTTGTGATCGAAATTAATGTAGTTTTAACATATAATATCAATGCAAACAATTAGAATATTTATACAATCAGAAAGAAATATATATCCGTGTAATCACCAACTTCAAAATTAATGTTCAAATTGTATATACAATTCTCTACATTATTTTTTCCTCCCCAATAGCACAAGGCCAGGATACAATTATAGAACTATGGGTGAAGGCCGCAAGTTAAGGGGATTGGTCGAAGCAATCATGTGCACAGGCTTTACACCCCTCGTGGCCTCATCCAGCTGACTCTTTATTTAAGTACCACACTTAGGAGGCCTGCATTCATTAACCAACTCCCATCTAAGTTAACCTGCAAATTTGAGGAGAAAAGAGTACCAAGAAGATCGAAGCGAGGAATGATGAGTCTAGCAATATTCTTCAACATCTTCACCTTGATGGCAACGAGCTACATTTTTCTGGCCGTCGAGGGTTTCTGGCCGTCTGGATGGACCAAGGCCACCGCAACGTTCTATGGCGGAAGTGATGCCTCCGGAACTATGGGTATGTACTTTTATTAGCACATACATATTCTGGCAAGAGGGACGATATTACTTTTTTGGTAATTCTTAAACTCATGTGAGGATCACATGACGATTAAATGAAGTTAGACGTATAGGTGCAAAAATCGTTTTGGTGTTATCCCCAGAGGAGTTCCAAAACTAACGACAAATTAAGTACTATTTCCAAGGTGACCAGGGTTTGAATAGAACATCAGCGTTAAGTAACTAAATCCTCAGTTATCCATTTTCTCTTGATGCATATAACTCAGTAAGAGCCTGAATCTCAATGGATCACATAATCATATGCAGGTGGGGCTTGTGGATATGGAAATCTGTATTCATCTGGATATGGAACAAGGACTGCAGCCCTGAGCACCGCTCTGTTCAACGACGGAGCTGCTTGCGGCCAATGTTACAAGATCATCTGTGATTACAGGGCAGATCCCAAATGGTGCATCAGGGGCACCTCCGTGAGAATCACGGCGACCAACTTTTGCCCACCAAATTTTGCGCTACCTAGCAATAATGGTGGTTGGTGCAACCCCCCTCGCCAGCATTTTGACATGGCACAACCTGCGTGGGAGAAGATCGGCATATATCGTGGGGGAATTGTGCCTGTAATGTATCAAAGGTTGTCG